GGATTACCACCTAAATCATGAGCAAATTGTCGTAGGGTGAACAGAGAGTCGAATGAATGACTTAAAGACTTAATAGTGTGGGAAAAATGGATTTCAGCTCAAGGGCCAAAAACAGAAATAGCTGGAAAAGCTCAGCAGGTCTGACAGCATCTGTGTATGGCTTCTGAGCACCACGTTTTGAAAACTGCCTTTTAGCACAAAACTAATCCAAGACTTGAAGAAGTAAAGAATGTTGAAGCATCCCACCATGTAATTGACCTCTCATTCAGTTTTGAGAGAAATTATTCATTTATTTCTCATTAATGTTTACAGCACAGAAGGAGGCCATTCAACCTATTGTATCACAGTCTGACTACACTAATCCCATTTTCCAGCTCTTAGTCCATAGCCCTAGGGCCTATGACAATTCAAGAGAATATCTAAACACTGCTTAAACGTCATGAGACATTCTGACTCTGCTACCCTGTCAGGCAGTGAGTTCTAGACTCCCACTACCCTCTATGTAAAAAACATTTTCCTCAACTCTCCTCAGCTTTCTAACTCTTTGCTTAAACCTATGCATCCAGCTATTGACCCCAGTAAAAATGGAAGAGAGTGGCTTCCTCTCCACTCTGTCTATGCTTCGATTTCTATTCTGTCATCAATGGGAGACCTATAACCCCTTTACTGTCTTTAGAGTTATGAATCTGAAAATGCTTCATACACAACCTTGATTAGAAACGTTAGAATGTGCTGGAAAAATGTCTGCAATCTCATATCTGCACTCATTCATAGCAGGTGGGATAAGATTTAAATTTAGATTTTATTGTCATGTGTACTTGAGTACAGATTTGTGCTGTGAGGAAGGGAGCTGCACGACTCACCAATATGAGAGCTTTTAAAGGGAAACAACATTACACACATACACATGCGCTGTAAAGGATAGAGACTTCTGGAGTCTCTAATTCATCACCATTCTAATGCATTGATCTCCTGTTTGCTGTGTATCTCCCTGCTGCTGATATCATTAGCCAACTCATTCACAATGTTTTTGGACACACAGGCCAGGGAATGAATAAGGATGATGTAGGTCAAGGACCACTGGTGTCAGCAGGATCCATTTTCCTATGCATTTCTTCTTGCTTTTGCTTCCAGATGCTGCAGCAGGCTCTCACCACAGACATGTATACCCATGGTGGCCATAAAGTTATGCCTCTTGCTGGAACAGCAACATTCAAGGCTACGCAGACAGACAAACAACCAGGTGCAAGATCAAAACTGTGTAATTTATAGAAATAATGTACAGTGCGTTGTCACCCTTGGCACCAAAGTACCCTCAATAACGTTTGTTCTTCTCCCTGTGTCCCTGATTGTGCAGCTGGGTGGAGGGAGTCTGCCCAGCAGTGGACACTGTGTGCCCTAGAGGTTTGATGTGGCAATCCCTGGAATATTTGTGCCTGGATAGCCAAAACATGCTGGGGGTCTTCTTGACGGATGCAAGACACAGTTGCCAACCTGCCCATGGAGACAGACTGATAGTTGCATGACTTGTGCACTGTTGCAGCTTCTGAGCGGTGAGGGCCATTGTGTCTTACATACCTGTTTGCTGCTCCTGTTCCTTCCTGTGTATGTGGACAAAGTCTCTGATTGCCAACACTACAGCATCCTCCAGTGCCTGACGCTGAGCAGGCATCTGGTCTCTGATAGTTGTCTGAGTGCCAGTGGCCTGGGGCTTTATGTCCTTGGCTATTTGTAGAGCTGCCATAATGAGGTGCTCACCAGCTTGTGCTCCCAAACTTTTTAGGGCTGACATTGTTGCCAAGGTGTTCAGACATTGAATCTGAATCAGTGCACTATGTGCTTTCTTTGATTGTGGACTGAAATGAGAGAGAACAGTTTTAAAAACCAGTGTTTTAAAAGATTGCTGTAAGTTTGGAAAAGCAGATAATCTGACACTTACAAAACACATTGTTCAAACAGCTGTTTAACAATCAGTAATTAAATCAGTTGCAGATGAACTGGAGCCAAGGGGTTGTGTGTACAGGTGCAAATGCTGGTCTGTAGACTAGTGACCAGTTATCGATGACAAATACCTTTTTCCTGCAAACAGCCATGCTGGTGGACATCAAAATATTTTCCTCTCTATCTTGTTCCCAGTTCCAAGTTGTTCAGCTGAGAATCAATCCCATGGTGCTTGGCAGGAAAAAGATTTTAGTCATCGATAACTGGTCACTAGTCCATAGACCACCAGCTATATCTGTACACAATACCCCTCTGCTCTAATTCATCTACAACCATTTCAAATATTCATTACTAAACAGCTCTGCAGTCAAAACCAATTTTAGTAATTATTGTAAGCTGTGACTTTTAACTGATGTAGTGAACTGTTGTAAGCAAACCAGCCATCTCATGTCTCTCACAAACCAATGGAAGCATCCAAAGAAAAATAACTGAATGGCAACATGCTGATCAACTTAAAAATCATAAGGATCATTTCAGCAACCCACGACGAGGAACAACTGAACTGCCTCCTGGTTTTCTTCTGCCCATAATCTGTGTATGTGTACAGGGGAGTTTAAGGGGATTAGAGTTTTAATTTGCAATGTTATATGCCAACAGTTTATAACTATTTACTTGTAGCTAGAGTCTAACTTCTTGTAATAAATAGTCATTTGTAGTACATTAAGTATTGAAACCTAGTCCATGCTTTCTGTCAAGCTGGGTCTAAAAATAAGATAAACTGTAGAATTTGTGTACTTATTTTCAAATCTTTAACTTTAAAACATTCCTCAATACTCATGATATTGTCAGTGTATGTATTTATAAACATTTTAGAGCTGTTTTCTTGCCACTGACTTGAGCCTCATTGGACCTTTTCTGATAAACTCTAGTATGACAACAACACAAGTTGAATCTTGAAGCAGCAGGAATTCTATACACACTATAAAAACAGAAAATGCTGGAAATACTCAGCGGGTTAGGCAGTATCAAAGGAGAAAGACATAGTTTCATACCGAACACCTTATAGTCATTCTGGGTTTTATTTTCTCAACCAATGTGAATTTGTCAAACATTGAGTTTTAGGCTCTGTGCACCTGTTTAATGCATGTTCTGTTAAAGTGCGATATAATTTTGCTTTGTTTGTTTCATTCAAGTCAAATTAAGTACAAAAGACTACGAAACATGCTACTAACAATATATACTCTATCAACTGTAATGACACATAATGTCATCATAGAAATTCAAATGGTCTGATGATTAGATATACTTCATTGAAGGCACAGTGCACACTTGTACACACTTTTATGCATACTCACACTAATAACATCAGGGTCTATTAATAAGGCATACATATGGAAGACTGTGCTTCCAGAATGTGGAGAAGATGCTGACTTTTTCTGCAATTCCAGGTGAAGGATAATTACTGATAAAACAGTCATCATGCAAGTATTGGTACATCTTTGATTTACGGATCTGTTTCCTTTAGCCAGATTGTCCAAATGTTACATTCTGAAGCAAATATTTCAATGTTTTGTTATTTTTTAAGTTGTTAAATTATTGAAGGGAAAAGGTCATAAAATTAGAGAAAATGAAAAATCAGTTGAGAATGTAGTGTAACAACTGAATAAATTACAGCAATATTTGTTTCACAATAAGTGTCGTTGGTTCTGCTTAAATTAATTTGTGCGAAAAGCATAAAGAAAAAAGTATGTGTGGTTAGTAGCATGTTTATTGATTTTTTAAATTTCATTTGACTTCAGTAAAACAAAAAGAGAAAAATTCTATTATATTTTAACACAACACACATTAAAAAGACATTGTGGTTATGACCGAAGAATGTCCAGAAGATTTGTTTTCCACTTGAGGTTGAGAAAACAAAAGTAGAAGAACCATACAACGAAAAAGTTGTAGTAGCATTGGAGGTAGTCCAGAAAACGTTCACTAGCTTGATTCTAGGTTTGTGGGGGATTTTCTAAAAAGGAGAGATTGAGTAGGTTGGGCTTATACTTTGGAGTTTAGAAGAATGAGAGGACACTTTATTGAAACATAATATTTTTAAGGACCTTTACCGGATATATGTGGGCATAGCCTCAGAGTAAGGAGGAATTTTTTGCTGTCAGGTTAGTCACTTTGTAGAATTCCTTATCACAGAGCCTGGGTCCTTAAGCATATTCAAGGTGGAGATACAGATTTTAATCAGTAAGGGAATCGAGAGTTATGGGGATATGGCAATTGAGTTGCAGATTATTAGATCAGCCATGATATCACTTGCAGAGCAACCTCAAATGGCCTACTTCTGCTGTTACATTTTATAGTTTAATGGATTATTCTTCAGTGATCACTACAGTGTTTAGTACAAGGAAACTATACTGTAACATGTTTCTGTACAAAATGTTTGCAAGCTGATAGAAAAGACTTTGCAAACACTGAAAGAAAGTGAAAGAAATTTGCCAAACATCTTATAGAGCTTTGCAATAATGAAACTCTTTTTTACTCTTCTCAAATTACTTTTTGAAAATACATTCATCATAATTTTTATTTAATCTTAAGAGGAAAATCTTGTGGACAATTTTTAAATGGCTTGTTTCTAAAAAGATGAGGATTCGACACCAGATACCTTGCTTGGTGTTTGAATCTTGTTCTAACATTGGATTAAGGTGAGGCAGTTTTGTTCACCCATAAAACCAATCATTACTTCGAAATAATTGATGTTGCAGCAAATTAGTCGATGTTACTGAGCAGATTTGTAATTAAATCATGCCCTTTTAGCTAATTGTGTCACATTAGTTGACTTCTCAAATTGGTACTGCACATTGCATCAATTATTTGAGGATTATGACCTGGTCAACCAATGACATGCAACAGTATACAGGCTTTCAAATGTGAATACCTTGAAAAGAGTTTCATGAGGCCATCAATTGCTTTCATTATTCTCTACATTGATATTCTAGCACCTTTCTTCTTTAATTGTACCCATACAAAGAAAGTTTCTGTGACAGTTGCATTGCTTTCTTTGGCAGTTGATGTTGGTTTGCAAATGAAGACATGGAGCCCTGGAATTTGCTGATGTTTGCACAGATCCCATTGCAGGTAAGGGTTTCAGCAAGGGAAACTGATTGGATAACTGAGGTTATGACAATGGCTACAGTTAGTGTCCCCAGCTGAACTAATTTATATAGACTTTTACTTTGACTTTAATTTGTTCAAAGCATATGCTGGTGGTCATGTTTAGTACATTTTCTACCTGTGTGGCCTGCATTCTAATTTATGGTTGTTCACAAATTTGTGGTTCAAAAATTAGAGCTTACCAATATTGAGGAGTACATTAAACAACAACATCTGATGCCAGCAGACTCAGTGGGCTGAATGGCCTACTTCTGCTATAGTTTACAGTCTGTACAAGTTGCCCTATTCCTGTTGTAGATGTTAAGTATCTCCTATCAAGACATTGCATTCAAATACATGCAACAGCATGAAGTTGAGGTATTGATATAGAGTCATAGGGATGTACATCACGGAAACAGACCCTTCAGTCCAACTTGTCTATGCCAACCAGATATCCTGTATAAATCTTGTCCCATTTGCCAGCATTATGGGATGTGGGTGTTGCTGGCTGGCCAGCATTTCTTGCCCATCCCTAGTTGCCCTTGAGAAGGTGGTGGTGAGCTACCTTCTTGAACGGCTGCAGTCCTCCTACTGTGGGTTCACCCACAATGCTATTAGGGAGGGAATTCCAGGATTTTGACCTAGTGACAGTGAAGGAACGGCAACATATTTCCAAGTCAGGATGGTGAGTGGCTTGGAGGGGAACTTGGAGGTGATGGTGTTCCCATATGTCTGATGCCCTTGTGCTTCTAGACAGAAGTGGTCATGGGTTTGGAAGGTGCTGTCTGAGGATCTTTGGTGAATTTCTGCAGTGCATCTTGTAGATAGTACACATTGCTGCTACTGAGCGTCGGTGGATGGATTTTGTCACCTTGGCTGCTTAGTTGCAGCTTATTCAATGGTCTTTTGATGCACACTGATGGAATTCTGTTGGCAAATAGCTTCAGTTTGTTTTAAATAGATAAGAAGACAGCTTCTTCAAGATTTGCTTTATACTTAGAAAAGTAGTTGTGTTGTCATTTGAGACTTTGAGATTCACCCTATCTAGTTCAAATGAGGGACCATCTTAATACAACGAAAGGTTGATGGAATCCATTTCACATTCACCCAGCACCAACTGAGCTTTGTTATCTCATTTGTCCATGATTAAACAAAAATGATGGGTTGACTTAAGTTATAGTTCCTTTTGTTGATGATCCCTCCTGAATGTCTATATTTCAGACTTATGACTGTCTCAAACTCAGAAGCCAAAAGATTACCTGATATTCAGTGGTTATTTTTAATAGATAATGTTCAAACTTTAAATTATTAACTGAAGGTTATTAATGTGCCAGAACATCAATACTTAATTGCAGTATCATTCCTTCAGACTTTAACTTTTTTGGAGGTTTAAAAAAACCTGCACACAACAATTTTCTGTCATTTTTACCTCTCTCAAACCTATCTTTCTTTCCCTTGTTTTAAAAATTTTCTGAACATATTGTTATGTTGAATTAATTATTCTAATTTGGAACTCCTGGTAAACTCAACAAGACATAGTAAAAGGGTTCTTCAGTCTCATTCTTTCAGGAGACAAATGTTATGTCTGTACAGACATATCTTAGATCTCATGAAGAGACCACTGCTATCTTTGATTTCTAGTAACTGCATCTTCCAGTGCAAAAGTTTGTACATTCACCATTGACCACAAAGTTCAGACTAATTGTCAGTTAGGATCATTTTTGCCAGTTCAGTTTACTAAACATGACTTTGAGAAGTAGCTGAGTTTCATGAATATAGCAAAGGCAATGAGACAGCGTCTAACTGCAATGCTGAAGATCAGCACACCAGACCTAGCTGCCTTCCTAACCACGCGTTCTGTACAGATGTGGCTGGCATGTACTTGACAATGTGGAAGACTGCACAGCTATAGCTTATCTACAAAACACAGGGTAAAAGAAATCTTAGCAAATTATCATCCTGTCAATTTCATTCCAAACACCTATAAAATAATGGAAGGCGCTCTCAGTAACACCATAAAACAAACTTACTTTTGATAGTCTGTTTACTGATGTACAGTTGTCTTGCCACTGGTTAATCCAAACACGGATTATCTGAATGCCAATAAGAGGCAAAGGGAGTTATCCTCAACATCGGGGTAGCATTTGACTTGGAATAACACCAGACGGCCCAGAAATTAAAAGAAAACACTTCAGTAGTTCACACCTTTTACAAAAGATGGTTATGGTCGTCAGATGCCAGTCATTACTTTCCCAAGACACCAATATAGAAGTTCCTCATGCCAGCCATTTTCAGCTTTATCAATGGTTCTTCACTCTTTCTTTCTCTATCTCTGCCTCTTTTCCTCCTTACTTGTTAAGGTCAGGGTTGTTTTGTGGTTTCAGCATTCTTGGGACTGCTTTAGATTTCTCAAAACTGTTGGTGGTCTGCTTTCTCTTGTTTTCATATTAGCGTGAAATATGATTTCACTTTGAATAATTGAGTGTTGTGGCACCATAACCTTACCAGTGGGGTCCAAGTATTTTTCTGGCAGTAATTTAATATTCCTTATTACTTTTTATTGCTCTTCCTTACGTCAAGCTAAGGACTAGCTGTTAACTTTTTCTGTCTCTGTTTACAGTACTGCATTATTTTTTTAAACGTTATTTGTTCTCGGTGTTATAAGAGCAAGTTTAAATCTTCTCTAGCTATTGAAGTTACCCACCCATCTGGGTTCCGCAAGCAGAATTTGTTAAAATTGCAGATGTGACGCATCAAAATCATTAACTTGCCTCAAAACTGTTTTTTCTCAAGTTCATTTGAATCTAAAACATAGGAAAAAGTAATAACTGATCGTGACATTTTTCAGTCCTACCATTCATTTGCTTTAACTTTTCTGCCCATCTTTCAATAGATCATAGAGTCAGAAGAAGGCCCTTCAACCCATCAAAGTGGTGTCAGTTGAAAGCAACCACCGAACTATTCTAATTACATTTTCCAGCACTTGGCCCATTGCCTTCTGTGCCATGGCATTGCAAATGCACATCTAAATACTACTTCAGTGTTATGAAGGTTTCTGCCTCTACCACCCTTACAGTCGGTGAGTTCCAGATTCCCAACACTGGGAGAAAATATTTTTCCTCACATTTCCTCTAAATCATCTGCCCTTTACCTTAAATGCCTCCGGTCATTGATTGCTCCATCAAGGGGAAAACTTTCTTCCAGTCTAGCCTATCTATGCACCTCATAATTTTATACATCTCAATTCGCACCAACTCTCAATCTCCTCTGTTCTAAGGAAAACAACCCCAGGCTGTCCAATCTTTCTTCATATCGAAATCTCTCCAGCCCAGGCAACATCCTGATAAATCTCCTCTGCCACCCTCTTCAGCACGATCACATCTGCCAAAGATGTGGATTCCTGAACCGCACATAATATCCTTTGGCCCAACAACTATTTATAGTTCCAGCATAATCTCCTTGCTCTTAAACTCTATGTCTTGACTAAAAAGGCAAGTATCCCATGTGCCTTCTTAATCATTTTATCCACTTGCCCTGATACCTTGAGGGACCGGTGTACATGCACATTAAGATCCCTCTGATCCTTGGTGCTTCCCAGGGTCCTATCTTGTCTTGTTTGTCCTGCCCAAATGCACACCTCACATTTATCTGGCTTGAATTGATCTGATTGATGCTAACATTCTTAAAATCCAGTAGAAAAAACACCAACATTTTCGTGAATTGGAAATCACACGCACATTGTTGGCTGGTTTTGTTTAAATTCTGCTAGTTGGGGTGTATGAACATAATCAGTTAATTAATAAAACAGACATAAAATACAAGTTGATCTCAATAATAATAGTGAAACTACAAGATTTGGTTTAAAAACTGATCTGGTTCCCCAATGTTCCTCAGGAACAGTAATCTGCCATCCTTATTTGGGTTACACTTATGTGACTCCAGACTGTTAGCAGTGTGGTTCACTCTTGACTACTGTCGGATATGGTCTGGCAAGCCATTCAATTCAAAGTCAGTTAGTAATGGGCAATAAATACTGGTATTACCAGGAGCATTCACATTCCAAGAATGAATTTAAAAAAACATTGTTTTTGTTTTCGGACCAAAATAAATGCTGGAAATCACAGTGGGAGAGGCAACATCCGTGGAGAGAGCAAGCTAATGTTTTGAGACACAGATGACTCTTCATCAGGGCTTGGATGCTGCCTGACCCGTTGAGATCTCCAGCATTTTTTGTCTTCAGTACAGATTCCAGCATCTGCAGTAATCTGCTCTACATTCCTTTTTGTTTTCTTGGCAGGTAATCTATATGAATATTGAAATGCAGTGCCAAATTCTGTAAAATAACCATGACATAGGAGAATGGAAACATTCTAAGGCATTGAAGCCAATATGTACAAATTCATGTCTGCCATGGATATCTTTTCAGATTAGTTTGTGTACACAGATCCCATGCCCATGACTTTTGACTGTAACCAACTTATACATTACTATAAAACAGGTCTAAAGTGTATGTTCCTAACATGAAAACAAGATATCATGTCTTTGTGTGTTTTTTCATGCAATTTTCCAGTTTTCTTTTGCAGGTGAACTAAGAAAACACTCAGTTGTTAAGTATTTTTTTCAGACAATTTATGAAATTACAAAATAAAATTCATGAACAGGCTCATTAATCCAGTACTAATCTTCAAGTAATGGTACAAATAATGAACATAGAGTCATAGAGATATACAGCATGCCGACCAAATATTCTAAATACATCTAGTCTCATTTGCCAACATTTGGCCCGTTTCCCTGTAAACCCTTCCTACTCATATACCCATCCAGATACCTTTTAAATGTTGTAACTCTACCAGCCTCCACCACCTCCTCTGGCAGCTCATTCCATACACGCGCCACCTTCTGCATGAAAAAGTTGCCCCTTCGGTCCCTTCGAAATCTTTCCCCTCTTACCTTAAACCTATGCCCTCTAGTTTTGGACTCCCCCCACCCCAGGAAAAAAGACCTTGTTCATTTACCCAATCCATGCCCTTCATGATTTTATAAACCGCTATAAGTCACCCCTCAGCCTCTGATGCTCCAGAGAAAATAGCCCAGCCTATTCAGCCTCTCCGTATAGCCCAAACCCTCCAGCCCTGGCAACATCCTTGTAAATCTCTTCTGGACCCTTTCAAGTTTTACAACATCCTTCCTATATGAGGGAGACCAGAATTGTGTGCAGTATACCAATAGTGGCCTAACCAATGTCCTGTACAGCTGCAACATGACCTCCCAACTCCTATTTTCAACGCACTGACCAATAAAGGCAAGCATACCAAATGCCTTCTTCACTATCCTATCTATCTGTGACTCCACTTTCAAGGAACTATGAACCTGCACTCCAAGGTCTCTTTGTTCAGCAACACTCCCCTGGACCTTACCATGAAGTGTATAATTCCTGCCCTGATTTGCTTTTCCACAATGCAGCACCTCACATTTATCTCAATTAAACTCCATTTGATTAATGTCCTGTTGTACTCTGAGGTAACCATCTTTGCTGTCCACTACACCTCCAATTTTGATGTCCCCTTCAAACTTACTAACCATACCTCCTACATTCACATCCAAATCATTTATATAAATGACTAAATGAGGTGCACTCAACACCGATCTTTGTGGCACACAGCTGGTCACAGACCTCCAGGATGAAAAGCAACGTTCCTTGACTGCCCTCTGTCTTCTACCATTGAGCCAGTTCTGTATCCAAATATTTAGTTCTCCCTCTATTCCATATGATCTCATCTTGCTTACAGTCTATCATGAGGAACCTTGTTGAATGCCTTACTGAAGTCCATATAGATCATGTATACTGTTCTGCCTTCATCAATTATCTTTGTTGCTTCTTCAAAAAATTTAATCAAGTTAGTGAGACACAATTTCCCACGCACAAAGCCATGTTGACTATCCCTAATCAGTCCTTGCCTTTCCAAATACATGTAAATCCTGTCCTTCAGGATTCCCTCCAACAATGTGCCCGCCACCGATGTCAGGCTCACAGGTCTGTAGTTCCCTGGCATTCCCTTACCACCTTTCTTAAATAGTGGCAGCACATTAGCCAACCTCCAGTCTTCTGGCACCTCACCTGTGGCTATCAGTGATACAAATATCTCAGCAAGCGACCCAGCAATCACTTCCCTGGCTTCCCACAGAGTTCTAGGGTACACCTGGTCAGGCCCCAGGGATATATCCACCTTTATACATTTTAAGACGTCCAACACCACCATTTCTGTAATACGGAGATTTTTCCAAGATGTCGCTATTTATTTCTCCATGTTCTCAATCTTTCATATCCTTCTCCACAGTAAACACTGATGTAAAATACTCTTCTAGTATCTCCCCCATCTCTTGTAGTTCCACACATAGGTGGCCTTGCTGATCTTTAAGAGGCCCTATTCTCTCCCTAGTTATCCTTTTGGCCTTGATGTATTTGTAGAATCTCTTTGGATTCTCCTTAACTCTATTTTCCAAACCTATCTCTTGTCCCTTTTTTGCCCTCCTGATTTCCCTCTTAAGAACACTGCTACTGCCTTTATACTCTCCTAGGGAATCACTCGATTTCTGCTGTCTATACCCGTCATATGCTTCCTTTTTATTCTTGACTAAAACCTCAATTTCTCTAGTCATCCAGCATTCCGTGCACCTACCAGCTTTGCTCTCCACCCTAACAGGAACATACTGTCTTTGGACCCTCATTATCTCACTTTTGAATGCTTCCCATTTTCCAGCCGTCCCTTTAGCTGCCAAAATCCACCCCCAAACAACTTTTGAAAGTTCTTGCCTGATACTGTTAAAATTGGCTTTCTTCCAATTTATAACTCTAACTTTTAGAACCAGTCTATCCTTTTCCATCACTATTTTAAAACTAGTAGAATTATGGTCACTGGCCCCAAAGAGTTCCTGCACTGCCACCTCAGTCACCTGCCTTGCCTTATTTCCCAAAAGTAGGTCACGTTTTGCAACTTCTCTAGTAGGTACATCCACATACTGAATTAGAAAATTTTGTTGCATGCACTTAACAAATGCCTCTCTGTCCAAGCCCTTAACACTATGGCAGTCCCAGTCTATGTCTGGAAAGTTAAAATCCCCTACCATAACCACCCTGTTATTCTTACAGATAACTGAAATCTCTTTACAAATTTGTTTTTGCTGTGCTACCCCACAGCAATGAGTCATTATGCTTGATTTGAACAAAAGTTTCAGTTCTGTTCTTCTCAGTTATGTCAGGCCTCACTGTCCTGAACATGAGATTTCTCTTTCAATGTTTATCCTCTCCAAAGGAATTGGAATGATTCTCCTGGGAATGCATACTCAAGCTCAAATGAATACAGTCCTATAATTCAGAAAAGGAATGAATAGTGATTGGAATGTGTGAACTAATTGTTGTTGTTTGAAGCACACCTGTTTAAACAGCTTGGGGAAATTTAACCCCCCCCCCAAAAAAATCTTAAAACTGAACCCAACCCACCTTGAGCTTGCTTACTTCTGGTTTTAAATGAAGGTGGGACGGGGTTGGGGGGGGTGCGGGTGTGGGGGTGTGTGGTGGTTTGGCAACTAACCCATTTCCAGGAAATTATTCACTCATTTAAATGTTTTAGTATGGTCGTATGCCTCTGATTTTATCTTTATTTCCAGCTCAACACTGACAAACCAAATTTACAGCTGAAATGAGATGAGGACTGCTACATGGAAGAGGTTAGTGCTTTTCCAGTATTACCAATGGAAGAGCAAGAATGTGACCATCTGCAAATTCCCACCCCACTCTTGACCGCGGAGCACTAAACACCATGAATGCCAATTCTTCCTCCCCCCATCTCATTATGACTCTGTCTATGATTTTACATTGACCCCTCCACCTACTCTCCAATCTCTCCATAACAATCTGTCTCTGAGCCTTCTCTGTTCTCCCCTTGCCTCCCATCTCTCCTCCTTGTAGATTTATTCCTATCTCTCCCTAGACATAGCAGGATAGAATGATTGCTAACTCTCAAAATCATGCTGTACCACCTCCACTGCTAATCTCCCACCCCCTGCTCACAATTTCTTACCTAAGCAGCATTAGCTTACCTGTTTGAGAGTTATGGTTTCTTCTGCAGTGTTCCCTTCCCAGACAGCCAGGCCTATAAAGCAGACCAGCTTCCCAGCAAAGCAACTGTTTGAAACATAACAGTGTCATGAAGTAGAAAATCCACCCCATAGGGGAAATGTAGGTTTTTGAACACAATTTTCCACCTTCACTTTGAAATTCCAAATTCTACCTCTGTAAATATCAAGACTGTTGCCTGAAAACTAAGCCACAGCGCATAGCCCTGCTGCACGAAAGTTTAAACACTTTGAGGGTGTAACACAATATTTTTAATATCCATCATAACTTTGTATTCCCTTTGCCCCATATTGAAAGTCCTAGAGCAGTTTCATTCTGTGTCTATGTTTCTGTCTCTACTTGATTCATGTTCCTCTCAGTCCTCCTTCCTTGATTTTCCTACTGTTCTCTTCCTCCTGTCTCCATCGATTTCCCATTTCTTTCAGTTTCCCTGGTTCCAGAAATCAGTCCAAAAGTAATTGAGATAGAGACCTGAGAAAGGTGTGAAAGCAAAGAAAGAATGAGATGAAATATGTGAACAGAGAAGGAAAAAATAAAATGTGAAAAGGCACAACATTGGATATCAGAAACTGTCAGAATCAGAGTTAAACTTGCCAGGAACCCTGTGTTTATTTACAGGTCCTCCAACGCTATATTGATAATGTACACTTTTCCACTTTCCAAAGTGGAAAAACATTAAAATGAAGACATGGGAACAACTAATCTACCTGGTTAAAAGAACATAAAGAAAAGAGCTGAAATAGGCCTTTTAAGCCTCCTCCACCATTCAATATGCCCAATCTCTTAACTCAACCCCACTATCTTGGACTCCTGTCTAGTCTTTAGTTCCATCAAATGTATTTCACTTGTATGAATACAGTCAATAACTGAGCATATACTGTGCATGGAGTAACCCTTTCAGTGAAGAGTTATATAGAGTTTAATGTAGATTTCCAATCTCTCATAACCAACTCCATTTGCATTAGTGTTGTTATTCTCCTTAAGGACTCAAATATGCTGATTAACTTTATTGAAATAAATGCAATCACAGTATTAGACTGGCTAAACAGAATTATGTTGAATACTCTGTCCTAGTTCTGCCTGGATCTGTTCAATCTCTGCCTGAAGTCTTTGTCCCATGTCTGCCTGATCTCATCTGACATCTGTGTCCCTTGTCTGGCCAATCTCGGTCCAACATCTGTTCAATACTTACAGAAAATCTTTAACATCTATACATATACATTATTGTACCAGAATGAAATGTAAACAAGCAGAAATCATCTGTTCCAGGTACTTATACTATAGTTTGCTCTCAAGGTTGATACAAGGCTTCGGGTATGCAAAGTTCCTCTTCAGTCATTTCTACTGAAGTGGACCTTCAGTGTCTTCAAGGTTCATGCCTGCTAAAATGTGCCTTACTGCATTTGCTTATAAATTAGCACCTTACTTCTGTTATGACCCCTTTTATAAAATCTTATTTATCCCACTACAGTTTCCCTCCTTTTGGCCTTTGACCTAGCCCAACGTAGCTAATTTCATTCATGCTGTCATTTCCCTTTACATATTGTCACCTATTCATACTGGCCAACTAGTTTGAGGTTGTTAAGGTACTAAGGCAGACTATCTGTACTAGTGGGGCCCTTAGTTCTCAGGCCCTTGGTCTATTAGGTTATCTTTTTTTCCCTACAGTAGAAGTTTGGTTATTTGATCATATATTGCAGATAACATAATAAAACTACTAGAACTGTTAATATCAAACTATCAGCAGCTACTAAACAAACAAAAACCAAAATCCTCAGCCAATGGGTCTGAATGATGTTGCATCCTCGGCTGGTTACGGTACATTCACAGAAACAGATTATGCATGGACTTAAAAGATTCTCCGGCTCTCCCTTCACCTGTACCCATTTTAGAGTCTCCTATTCTTCTTAAGTATTTCCACCCCCCACCCCACCTTAGCCTTTAATCATCCCTACACAAAATTATTTACACTTTAATTTGTACCTCTGTCACCAATATCATTGAGAATTTTATAGACAATTTCTCTAGGGATTGTGTCAGTGCCTTATCATTTAAAATATGTTTTCTTGCTCTTCAGACCACATTAACCATTTTGTAAAGTCATGTCTAAGTCCTCCACTTCAGTGCATTGCATCATGTGTTCTCTCATGTCAGTTACCTCAGATGTAACAATCGTTTCTGCATGCTTCCATTGGTACCCCAAGATCATGCCATCCATTTTTGACTTCCAGGTGATCTTTTCAAAAGATCAACATTGGGAAGGGTGGGGGTGCATGTGTATTGTCCCTGCCTGGTCCCAGTGTTTCAGATTGTGGCCAAATCAGTTCCCTTAAAAAAAAAACTAATAGACAAGGGCACAAATATCTCCAAAAGAAAGCTGTTAATTATTTAATTCCCACTGCACTAGTTTCAAACTGAACTATAACACTTTCATTTCAATAAGATCCTATCAGATCATGGTCAGCTTTCCTAGAAACCCACTTACTATAAGATTATTAAGTAACCCTGACATTATACAATTCCAGATCCAAAATAACCTATAGTTAATTGTCTAGTTGCTTCCTCAACTTACTTGAAAACAATCTTGTATACGTTCCATCAACTTGCGCTCCATGCAATTGATTTAAATTTGGTTTGCTGCATCTACATGAAGATTAAAATCTCCCACAACTACTGTACTATCCTAATAACATACATCTCTAACTTTCTGATTCATACCCAACTATAAGCTATTTTAGAAGGGCAGAGATCACACCAAACTTTTCTGTTCCTTTTTCATTCTAACCAAACTAATTCCACTTCTTGATTTCCTGAGCTAAGACTTTTTCTCTCTACTGTTTTTATTTTCCCTTTTATTCTTGGGATATGAGTATTGCTGACAAGTTCAGTATTTTGTAGCCCATTGCTAATTGCCCTTGAAAAGAGTACCTTGTAAGGCTGTTTTAGTGTCAACCACATCGCTGTGGGTCTGGAGTTGCATTTAGGCCAGACCAGATAGGGGTGGCAGATTTCCTTCCCTCAAAGCATTAGTGAAGTAGATGGGTTTTTATAACAATCGGCGATAATTTCATGGTCATCATTACCAACACTAATATTCAGTTCCACATTTATTGATTAATTAAATTTAAATTCCACCAGCTGCCTGTGAATACATTTCCCCATTCCATCCCTTCAGGTCAACTGATCCACCTTTTCTACTTCGCATATATCTTCTGAAAGTTAATTATATGGAATATTAAATTACCAACCTTGGCTGAAGAATGTCTATTGTATCTGCAAGTTCAGCATAGACAAAAGGAAGGTGATTATTTTTTCTGAGGATGTAACAGAGGAAAAGGAACAATATTGAAATGCAGAGACAACTTATGAATTGGTGCAATACTGAGATTGCTCATCATTGATCGCCTTGAATGCCTGTGGGAAAGTCCAAATGTTTCAGAGATCTTTTCTGAGGTCAAGAGTGAGACTTATTTTTATTTAGATATCACATCTCTCTCCCTTTAATCCTGAAAAGTAGTTTCTCTGTAATGGCATTTTTAATTGATTTTTGGAATCTACATTTGATTTGTAATAGAATTCCTTTAAAATTGTCTCCAAAAATATTGTGCAACTTTTTAAACATCAAAAATGAGTTTGTCATGCAGCGAAATCTGAGACATGCTCACTCTGGGCTCCTTATAACATCTGACCTGGAAGTACAAAGGCATGTGACACAGCTTCAGAAGATGGAAAACCAGAGTTTCAGTGGGAGGGGCTTTGCACATGAACTTCATAAAATATTTGTAGTGAAATAGTGCTTCCAGCAGATGGCAATGAAATTGAAACAAACATAGTAAGGATGAGGTTTCAATACGAATATTTTTGCTTCAACTATAACAAATTACGTCGAGCAGTGGCAACTAAATCTGATAATTCAGATGCTAAAGGTACAATAAGACTTGCGTGTATTGCCTTGTTAGCAGGTATTGAAGAATATATTTTTGGCATGCCCACATCCTGATTTTGTGAGCAATGATGTTAGCAGAGACATGGGATAAAGTAGTATGTAGTTTGGGGTGTAGAATGAAAAGCGACAGGTTCTACTCCTACAAACAAAAGCAAGAGTTTGAGGTATTTTCCTTTCACATATAATGTAGTAACATATTTACACAATGCATTTAGAAACAGTTAAAATAAAGATGTGTCACATCAAGCATAAATGTTTCGCTGGATTTTCTGCAAATTTAATAAGGGATTTAGTCAAAAAAGCAAAATGATTACTAGTTATGAATCTGGCCTTGTGATTTTGTGGTTTCTTAAATATAGCACTGTAAGCTGGAAAACTGCAGACTTTTTTAGAGAGTAATTATTAATTTTACAAGCTAATTTCTATAATTGATCACTGCATTTCTTAATAGGTAGAGCTAAGGGCCAATAGTTTGAGGCAAACTCCTAGAACACTTCAGAGTTGCAGGCTCCATCTGCTCCACCACAAATGACATAGGGCTTGTTCCAAACCCAGTGTTCTTGGTGCATTGTAAAGAGCCTAGTCAGTGTGTAAAGCTCATGCACAAAATAAATT